CTTTTCATTGGTTTGGGGTGAGATGTTCCTGCTCCAAATCCTGGTTTTTATCTTGGTTTGGGATGAGCCGTTCCCATCCCAAATCCCAACCTTTTCATTGGTTTGGGGTGAGGTGTTCCTGCTCCAAATCCTGGTTTTTATCTTGGTTTGGGATGAGCCGTTCCCATCCCAAATCCCAACCTTTTCATTGGTTTGGGGTGAGATGTTCCTGCTCCAAATCCTGGTTTTTTCCTTGGTTTGGGATGAGCCGTTCCCCTCCCAGATCCCATCTTTTTCCTTGGTTTGGGGGGAGATGTTCCTGCCCCAAATCCCGTCTTTTTCCTTGGTTTGGGATGAGCCATTCACATCCCAAATCCCATCTTTTTACTTGGTTTGTGGTGGGTTTGGGATGAGCTGTTCCTGCCCCAAATCCTGGTTTTTATCTTGGTTTGGGATAAGATGTTCCTGCCCCAAATCCTGGTTTTTATCTTGATTTGGGATGAGCCGTTCCCCTCCCAGATCCCATCTTTTTCCTTGGTTTGGGGTGAGATGTTCCTGCCCCAAATCCTGGTTTTTCCTTGGTTTTGGGTAGGTTTGGGATGAGCCATTCCCATCCCAAATCCCATCTTTTTCCCACCCCAAATCCCATCTTCTGCTCATCCCAAATCCCATTTTCTGCTCATCCCAAATCCCATCTTCTGCTCACCCCAAATCCCATCTTTTTCTCATCCCAAATCCCATCTTTTTCCCACCCCAAACCCCATCTTTTCCCACCCCAAACCCCATCTCTTTCCCACCCCAAACCCCATCTTTTCCCACCCCAAACCCCATCTCTTTCCCACCCCAAACCCCATCTTTTCCCACCCCAAACCCCATCTTTTCCCACCCCAAACCCCATCTTTTCCCTCGTTTTGTTCTCCTTGCTTTTTTCCTGCCTTCTTTTCCCGTTTTTCCCACTTTTCCCACCCAAACCCACCCCTTCTCTTCCCTTGCTCCTTTTCCCCGCGCTCCGTTTTACCCCGGCGGCCGGAAGATTCTGGAATTCTCCTCTTTGCTCCCCTCAGAGCACGGAAAGCCTCTCCCAGCGCGGATATTTTGGGAGAAAAAGCGGGAACGAGGAGCCGGAGCCGAGCGAGCCGCCCTGGCGCCGGTTCTGCGATTTTCGGGAAATCACGCACGTGGTGGTCAAGGAGGCCAGGATCAGCATCCACCGGCAGGACAACGAGAGCCTGGTGGGGTCCTCCCCTTTTTTAGGGGGTTCTGGGCCTTTTTAGGGTTTTCCGGGATTTTTTTGGGATTT